AATAAAATAAATTCATTTGATAATATTATTATATATTATATTGGCCAGACTAGGTGACGATTGTTCGTGTTACCAGATAGATATATAAATAGGTGTTTCGCATTTAACCGTTAACGCGTTAGAGAAACTAGGGAGATGTAACACGTTGCTCGTTGATGCGATGTTCGCGTGTCGAAAAGCTCTTACCTTAGGTGCCTCCCGTAATATCCAATATTCGTTTGAAACGTGAAAGAGCTCTACGATCTTTCACAACCCCTCATCCTTTCCCACCCCCATTATCACAACTACCACCACCACCAGTACCACCACCATCACCACCATTACCACCATCTACATCCCCCATCTCTTTCTCTTTCTTTCTCTCTTTCTTTCTTTCTTTCTTCTTTTCCCACCATTGTTCGAGAAAATAGAATTACAGCGATAAGTTATTACGAACGGGTAATTAGAGTTCTTTGTCGTGGATAAATGAGACTCCGGATAAGGATTTTCAAATTCTTTCAATGGTAACACTCAATTATAAGACGTAGAAATCGAATTGTATTTAATATTATTCGATGATTCTCAAATTATTAATATTATAAGATTCCTACGAATCTTAGCAAATAAAATTATTAGTAATAAATAATAAAAAATAATCAATTTTACCTTGAAGACCAAAAAGTTGAGCAGGTTTAGATTGTGCGAACCAACTGCTGTATAAGAGGGATGCCGATGCCAATGAAGTTGTCGTGTAACTCGAAGGATCCGAAAGGGTTCCATCGGTGTAAGGTATAGCCGTGTGCGCGTACAACATACCACTAACGTCTAAGAAGAAGAAGAAGAAGAATAAAGAAATAAAAAACAAAAATATAAAAATAATTAACAAATTTTTCTTACAGCGATATAACCAAAAAACAAAAAACAAAGTAAAACAAACAAAGTAAAACACATTGAAAGGGTGAGAGTAAAGGAGAGAGGATAAACGAATTTATATAAAACAAAAAGAATTCAACGTAACATAATAAACATACTTGAATGTGTAGCAGGTATGGCTGTTGGTCTGACAAATTGTCCTTCGATGATTTTCTCATCCTTATCGTTATCCTGTTCGTCCTCCTTGTCTATGTAACAAATTTTATTCAAATTTCTTTCCTCGTCCCTTTTATTATTATTATTGTTTCTCGTGCCTAATATATTGTCTATGGTGAATGCACTAGAATTCCCATTGACCGGTGACACATTTATCCTATCCGTAGGTTGAGTACGATTATATTCTCGATAACTTTCACTGCTAGAATCTGATGCATATTCCATCGTCTCCAGATGATTACTCGGTGATTTAACAACAACTCGTCTATTATCACCGTCCTCGGTATCACGTTGATGATGATGCTGGCGATGGTGGTGATGGTGATGATGATGGTGCTGATGGTGATGGTTGTTATAATCGTGATGCAACGTTTCATCGTCGACAGAATTAATATCATTGACATTCTGATTCGATCTGACTCGTCTGGGCTCGCAAATATCATCGTCCAATACTTTTTCTTCTTGAATCTGACAATAATCCATCTTGACGAAAGTCATTTAACTGTAATCTCTCATCCTCTTGTTTACCATTAACTCTAATACACTTATCAATCGTATTTAACAATTATATTTATTTCAAAAATCTTATTCGTCAATATTTTCTTCTTGTTTCTTATGTTTTCTTATGTTGTTGTTGGTGGTGTTATTGTTGTTGTATTAAATTGAATAATTTCGTTAAATATTTTTCTTCTTTTACATTGAATCACTTTTTATTATTAACCATAAACCGTTCCTATGTGTCACCGTATCAACCTCTAATCTCAAACTAATCTCTCCTTTTAGTGTTACGAAAGCGAGTACTTCCGAATGTATGACAGGTGGCACGTGTCCGTGGTCCAGAAGGACCTCCCAACATCCCCACCATCTTATTCCCGAGGGAAGGTCATCCTCCTAGGAGGAGGTTGAAGAAAAGTCTCTACCGCTTACAATTTATTACCCCTTCCTTTACCCTCCCCCTACTAATTTATTATACAATATATATTTTAGAATAATGATAAAGAAATACTGAAAATAAATTCGTAATAACATTTTATCCTCGTATCACGAATATTATTGCTGTTTATTATAATTATTATTATTATTATTAGATTACAAAAATCTCGGATATTTTTCGTTGTATATTAATATTTACGAACAATTTGTAACGTGTTATTTTTTTTAAATAATCAAATGTTTTTCAACGTTTCGTCCGATGTTATCTGGAAAATCAAATTCTGTAGGATTTAATTGCAAATTTGTGTTATTTTTTTTAATTTCCGTTTAATTTAATTGTTAAATGAAAAAAAAAATGATAAGATATTATATACTAACGAATGTTTAAATGTTATCCATTTAAAAGTAATAGTTATGGGATAGATGTTACACGAAGAAATATCCTTTAACGTAAACGCAATAACACCGCCTTCGTATTCTCGAAGAAAGAACTCATCGCGGTTTTAAAGAACGTTGTTGGTCTCCGATTGGTCCAATAGGCGCATGCTCCAAACTAAACGTCCGCCCTCTTCGAATACCCCATCTCAAGGATTTCTGTCAGCAAACTGATGGTTCCTTCTCCTACTCACCTTATTCCCCCATACCCCCAACCCACTCCCCCACCAACTTAGTTGGATGGATAAACGTTCCTACGAAGGCAGGAGAAACACCACGAAAAAAGCACCGCAAAACACTCCTTCGTGCGTTTAGTATAAACCACGGACAGTGGTTCTCATTTTACAACCATTTTACAACGATTTACTATCTTCGTTTCCTTTTTTTTTTTCGTTACATTTGTTATCTATTACTTATGTGTATCTAAGGATTGGTTTTAAGAAATAAATATAATTTAGTATTCATCAAACACAAATTTTATGGTAATGAGTTGTTTCCATTCGATAAACATTTTTAAACGAATTGTTTTTGCGGATAAGAATAAAATAAAAAAGGAAAAAGATTTCTACGAATAAATTGTAATAATTTGATTTGATAGGAGAATTGACAACACTTAATATCGCGATGATATGCTTTATCGGGAACCATCGGGAACACCATTGAACTAGGCTGGTTCCTCTTTACGTTCTCACAATGGCCGCCATTTCTACGAAACAGCACTTCCATTAGTCTTCGTATCATCCGCGCGAATTCTCACTGTTCACATCTTTAGACACCAAGGATGGTATAGGAACCCATAGAAAGAGAGAGAGAGAGAGAGAGAAAAGTTTCGCATTTCTCGTAACTGTTAAAAGGGAAGCAATGCCCATTGTGAGTCATTTACGATACATACAATTCAACGATCATTTATCTGTTACGAGAATATTTTTTTCTTTTCTTTTATTTATAATTATCTAACGAAAATAATTGTTTCAAACGATACGATCATTATTCCTATCGATAATAATAATAATAATAATAATGAACGTTTATTCTATTAACGAATATTTTAATATATTCATATTATATCATTTTTCTTACATTTCATAAAATATATAATATTCAACGATTTTTTTTTTATCTTAATATTATTTTAATATAATAAACGCGTTTAGATATACGCGTTACTTTTTCAGAAGATTATTCTACAATTCTACGTTAGGCGAGGACAAATATTGAAGCCTAAAATACCTGAAACAAAATTAATATCCTAACGCGCGTACGCGTATTTTTTTCTCTGCTTTCTTTTTTTTTTTCTTTTCTTTTCTTTTACTGTCGTTAGGTGCGAACTTACTCGTACGATTTAACGAAAAGTAGTTGCGTTGAAGTTTTCTACGAAGTCATTAAATACCCTTTAACGCTACTTTCCAGGTTTTTGCGATTACTCGTCGAATTGTTCATTTGACGTTTAGCAAAAACGTTTGTTTCACAAACTTTTCTTTATAACTGTTATACGTTCAACATTTATGTTAAATAAGAAAAAAAAAAGCCAAGATTCTTTTCTGGTTGTTTAATAGTCAAACAATTCATTTAAATTCGGTTAATAAGATTGAACACTTAGGGGAAGGGGATAAGGGGGGGGGGAAGAGATGATAAACAAACATAGTACCTAAATAAAATCTAATTGTCAGTTTTCTTGTGATTCGTTTCTTTTTTTCCTTCTTTTTATTTTCTTTCGAATATACCAAAAAGAAAAGTGTAGTAGGTGTTCGATAGAAATTTTATTCTCACATTTGGGTCCACGCTGCGCCATATAATTGGAACGATCAATCAAACACCTGAGAAGAAGAAAAAGAAGAAGAAGAAGAAGAAAGGTAGGGAGACTGTGTTAGGGTACGCGTGTACAAAAGTATCCCACTTTCGACCCTTTTATTTATTTTTTTTCCCTTTTTTTACACGCACATTGGTTACTACCATGGATGGAAACAGTCAATTAAATAATAATAAATTATAATTATAATATATAATATATATATATAAATACTGATCAAATAAAATACAAATTGTTATGTAAGAAAATAAAATATAAAAAAATAATTTTCAATGTAAATGTAGAAAAAAGTAATTATTTTATAACGATACGTGTGTTGTTTGTTTCGCACGTGTGAAATAAGAAAATTGTTTTGAAGAAAAAGGGGAAAGAGAAAATATGGGTTAGAGAGTATGAGTAGTGAAGAAGAAGAAGAAGAAGAAGAAGAAGAAGATTTGTAAAGAATTCTTTCAAACTGGGCGATTAATTTTCAGTATGCTCGATGTGTATAACTGGTACGGAATAGGTAGGGTGTTGTACACAGATATAGCCCACTCTCGCGAGATATTAGACAGGTGAGGAAGTTCCCAAGGGAACAAAGCCCCCATTACCTCGTCTTACCATCCCTTACCACTTATATACCTCGACAAACTCTCTATACTTCTAAAACATTCATAAGACCTACGTAAGTGGTTTTTAATAAAGGTATTTAATCATAGGTGTCGGATTACGACGAAATCGGTTACGCCACTGTTTGTCGCAACCAAAACGTGCTGAATTAATCCCTTTACTAAAACTAATACTGTTTACTACCCCCGTTCTTTCTTTTTTTTTCTTTTTTTTTTGAACGAGTTAAATTACTCAGTAAATATATGAATACAAATATTTTATTTTCTTACTTAAGTTCTTTAGATATGAAATGAAAAAAAAAAAAGAGAGAGAGAGAGAGAGAGAGAGAGAGAGAGAGGATGACGTTTGTCATAACGGAGCATTGTTACGGTTACAGTAATTATTTCTAGCAGATAATTATTATTATCCTAGCAGAAAGAGACGAACGTTTTCATACTGCGTCCAGTTTAGTTTATACTTTCTTACCAGTCTGATCGTTTAAATATTTTATTTTTCATTTTATTATTGAAATCATTTTATATTTGACACGTACTCATGTACATTATATATTATTCGTTGTATTTATTATTATGCATTTACGTTAATGCAAAGGAATGTTTCGACGATGGCAATGAATTTTGCATCGATCAAAATGACATATTGTCGGTTGATTTGTTACCGGGTACATTTTTGTTTGCCGATCAATTACAAGAAAGTAATATTTCTATAATTGATAATGAGATAACGGATGGGACAATGGACAAGGCTTTGAACGAGATGGATTATCACAGGTAAAAAAATAAATAAATATATATTCTAGGAATAATTTAGCAATGTAATAGAAATAAAATGTTCAATTGTTAGGAAACGAATGAACGAGTATCTCTGTCACGGTTACGTGGCAGAAGAAATTGTCAAAGAGGTTAGCACGCCAAGAGTTAAAAGGAAACCCGATTCTATACCTTTGAAACCTATTATAACAGATTTTGTGGAAACCGACAACGTGACCGTTCACGATAAAATGTTATGGGACGAGGGTAGCTCGAAATATAAAAATTGGCTTCAAAGGTAACGTTACGTTACGTTGTTATTCATTGACTAGAATGAATTTCTAAATATCTTATCTGACTTGTATTAAACGTTAAAATGATTTTTATTCAAAAGGACGACAACTTTGGACGATATTTATCGTCATTATTCGCCTCGTAAAGTGTTGACTAAAAAACAAGGAGTACAATACGATCAAGATATAGGGGAATTTGATGGTGAAGTTACTGGTTATGCAATGCAAGCACCATTACCTTCCGGAAAAATAGGAGTTTACGAACACCCAAATGAGAACGGTGGTAAACGTCGAATTTTAATTAATATTTTATATATTGTTATATATTGTTTAAATGGTTAATCAATTATTTCGAACGTTTACGTTGTGTCCAGATCACGTGGCTGCTGCTTCGGGACACAATTATCATCATTATGGTTACGGTGGTCATGGCGATAATTATGGTCACCACGGTGAAATATTTCCCGCAGTTCACGAGGAACATTATTATCATGTCCCGTATCATCCCGAGCATCACGAATACGAGGAGGAATATCATCACAAACCAGTTTATCATTACAACAAGGATAAGGGTCACGAGCTTTCGTTGAAAGATTTCTTTGAAATTGCATTAACCGCATTGGCATTCTTGGCGTTTGGTTTATTCGTCATACAGTTATTGATGAACGCAACGGTATGGGAAATGGGGGGGAGTAACGGGGACGGGGAGATTTGATTATTAAATTATAGATCTTCTATGGCAATTTATATTAATGAGATTTCATATCACAATGATTGTACATGTCCTTATAGCAAAATATGACGATAATTACAACAACGGCATCTCCAATTCGATCAAACACTGATGGGAGACGTTTTAAAAGAAACACCATAGGAGGATTTTCAATGAATTACTCGAGTAATCAGGAATTAAATGATTTATCTTATCACGTTTTGAGATCACTCGAAGCTGCCATGGTCGCCGACATGGATTCTGCCAATTGTTTGCGCCGAATTTTGTGCGAGGATAATCAATATTCAAAAGATACCAACGATGGTCGGAAAATTTGGATACCCGTTTGGAGGTATGTTTTATATATTTCGGTACTAAAAATATTTTTATATATATATATTTTATCGATAAATTAATTATTTTTCTTTTTCTATGTTTTGTTATTAATGCTAATGTAGATACCTTTTATTGGTAGCGATAATATCGACGAGAAATAAAATAAAATGAAAAATACGTAATATTTTTAATGAATAACATATAATATTATATTATTCATTAAATNAGAAGAAGAAGAAGAAGAAGAAGAAGAAGAAGAAGAAGAAGAAGAAGAAGAAGAAGAAGAAGAAGAAGAAGAAGAAGAAGAAGAAGAAGAAGAAGAAGGCAAGCGGTACCAGACTCCTGCTCTCTACTGTCTCCGGGACCCCGTGCTGGCGTGGTGCCATTTTTATAAGGCCCATAAAGGCCGTGAAGGACCGTCGAAAATAGTTTTGGATGTTCGAGAGAGACCTGGTAGACGCTATTAACTGTTCCTCCAGGTACCCGGTGGTGGTATAAAATTGACTTTTTATCGTGACTCGCGAACTCGAAAGACCGAGAGATATAGAAGGGACAGAACGGAGAGGTGGAGAAAGGAAAAAGAAAATAAAAAAAAAATATTTAAGGAAGAAAGAGAGAAAGAGAGAGAGAAAAGATGCGATTGGAAATTAGTCAGCGACGTTGTCGAAGATTCCTGAACGTCGTCGCCGTCGCCGTCGCCACCGCCAACCGTCCCAATGCAAGCGTGTTGTTCTTTTGTTCTCCTTTTGCGGACCCAAATACCGTTTTACCGTGGGCATACCGGTGCATTCGTGGCATCGTTGCTTCTTCCTTCCTTCCTTCCTTCCTTCCACTTATATTCGTTCTCTAGACGTTTCCCCCTTTCCCCTTTACTTTTATACTCATTCCCCTTTGCTACTTCCTTCGACTGTTCTTCGTTGTCGACCACCACAACCACCACCACCTCCTCTTCCTCCTCCTCCTCCACGTTTTCTACCTTTTTGTTACTACATCGCAAAATTGGTAAGATTCCTCAATTCTTAAACGTCTAAACTAAATGAATCGTAGAAGTATTCTGTATATATGTGTGTTACTGGCAAAGTTTGAAATTCGGTATTATACAGAATGTCTAAAACTAGCCGGCAATGTATGAAATGTATTCGTATTTCATACATTTCCCTAGGGATTCTATAGAATGCCAAATGAGAAACCAACAAAGTATGGAAATATATCTCCGATTCGTTTCAAATATCACGTATCTCATTATTTTTTTAAAATAACATTTGTATTTTTATTTTTTATTATTATTACACACACACACACACACATCTATTATATTATATTTATTATTATATATATTATTTATTATTATATTATATTATATTATATATTATAATTATATATTAAATATATAAATTTTATTTTACAGTTTAGGAATGAGTTGGATCACAGGAAGAGTTACTAGAAATTCACCATGGTCGGCAATGTTGGAATCAGTAAAAGCATCGATTCTTGGCTTAGGTGGTGCAGATTGCGCTACAATTTACCCTAATTGCGATTTACGCAAAGAAAGAATCAAAAGACGTCGTAGGAGAAGAAGAAAATAGGAAAATTTGATTAGTCTTTTAATATTTTTATCCGATATATATTGATTGAATCGATTTTTATTACAATTAATAAGATAAAGTTAATTAAATAATTTCCCTAGTTGGATTATCAGAATCAGCAATAATTTGGCTGGATTGAACGAGTTGTTTTCTCGATATCGGTAAAAGGGTAGCGTGTAAAGAACCGGATGGACAAACGTGAAAAATATTTCTATTTTGTCTATTAGAAAGTGGTCGACAATTTTCAAGTATCGCTTTACCATTAACGTCGCATAATTTTCTAAATTCGTCTATCTGTAAAATTAATCTGACTACCAGTCATATTTTTTTTTTCTACCAAATTAATTAATTAATTAATTAATTATTCATTATATTCTGATAAACAATTGATATAATATATATTTATTATTACCTGTTCTTTAGATATACCAATGGGTTCTCTGCTAACGAGCCACATTATACTATGACTCCATTGTGACGTTGTAATCGATCCCCAATATATGAAATAATCATGGTTAAATGGTTGTAAAACATTTTCTAAAATTATTGGTACCAAACGTATACTTGTACGTGCAATTTTAATTGACGACAAAGCATCGATTATATCCTTTAAAAAAATATTAGGTGGTGTTTGCAACTGTGCGTAAAAAATAAAACCAAAGAAATGTAATGACAAATTTCAGATAAATTACGCGTTAATTATTTCAACTCGTTGGAATGTTAATATTCAAATACAGACATTATACCTTAACGAAATAAACAATTACTATGACACCGTCAACTTGTCGCAATGCTTGTTCCAATTTCAAATATTGCGTATTAAAATGTACCGCGTGTAACTCCATCGGCGTACTTCGAATTGACAAATTGTTACAACGAAAATTTACATGAAAATCAATAAAATAAAATAATAAAATATAATAGAAATTATATTGTGAAGTCTGTTATCAAACAGTTACCGTATATTAAAACAGTACTTTACTATCTAAATGTTTTTAAATTATCAGCTGTATGTAAAGAAAGTTCGTATATTTTACGTAATGATTCCTTAGTGGGGTTAGATTATAATTTATCTTAAAAATATATTGTACATACTTAAACTTTAACATTTCACTTAAATATGAATGACTATGCACATTAATTGCACATTTAAAAAATCTATAAATAACTAATAATTTTGTACTGTCGGTAATTTTATTGGTAAATTACCATCAGATCTCGGTCGGTAAGTTTATTAGGCGAGCAATTATGGATTTTAAATGAGCAATTATTGAGCAATTAAGAGCATTTATGCTTTTCTTTCTGCGGTGAAAATTTTTCTACTGTCGGTAATTCTGATGGTAAGTAGAGCACTACTATTATCAATATCGGCTTAGCCAGGTTACTAGATTTTCAATATTTCTGAAACTTTCTTATTTCCTAGTAACTTTTAATAACAAGTAGTCTACACAAAATGAATGTGTAATTTAATTCTATATACATTTAAAAGCAAACAACAATTAAAAATCTAATATAAATATTTTGTTTTAATTATTAATTAAAGGAGTTTACAGGTACAGGAAAAAGACTTACTAGATTAAAAAATAAACCGATATAGTATTGGAGCTAGAAAGACCGGAGAAAAATGGACTATCAAAATGTCAGCGATTGATTGAAAACAAAAAACAATAGAAAACTTCATTGCTTTGCTTAGAAATGAGAGAAAACCTTTTTGTTTTTGTAATTATTAATAACTGATTAAATAATTAATTGGTAAGGTGTGCAATTATAGATTTTAAATGTGCAATTAATGTGTAAATAAGAGCAGTTATTCATTTTTGTTTGCTGTTAAGGTTTCTTGCCAGCTTTCCTACGATTCACTATTTGAATTAAATAATTGTACTCATAGTCATTCATATTTAACACTAGGTTTACGGACGTTTTTTATATATCCATCTCTATGGTACCCGTCAAATTAACGGGTGAATGAAAATACGCATTTTCTTTAAGTAGTAAAATCCAATAAATTCAAAAAAAGAAATAACTGAAACAATAATTATTCGCTTACTTCGCGTTATCGGCACGATGCTCACTACCGTGGATTTCAGTTCGGCCCCAATGAAAGTGCATTTGGGAAAAAACGTAATTCCCATTAAGAGGTCCGGCAGTGATGTATGGCAGTTGTTCCATTTGCCATTTTGCGCTGAGAACAGCTGCGCGAAAATGTTGAGCATGTTTTATTACAAAATATATGTTTCATTTCAAAATTGTTTACCACCACAACATTAGGTAACATATTAATGAATTAATAATGCGTTGATATTAGTCGAATTAATTGAATTATTACCCGTGTCACCGGTGTTGGTAATTTTTAATTTACGTGGTGCAACGTCGTAGTAAAACCATTTCAACGGTGGCAAATTAATAGGAGTCATTTTACTAATATCCAAATCGATCGGTGATTCTAATTTTCCTTCCACATTACCGAGCCTTTGAATTAATTTCACATTTTCTCTATCCAAATTAATTTCGGTTTTATCTAGAAAAAAAAGAAGAAAAGAAAAGAGAAGAAGAAGAAAAGAGAAAAAAGGAAAAAAACAATTAAAATCGAACTGAAATTTAATGCGAATTTTTATAAGAAATTATTTCATTTAATTTAAGTACCTTCCATTATGTTTGAAGAATATTAACGATACCTATTCCCTTTCGATATTATTCGATAATAAATATCGATTAAATATATATAAACTGAAAGTAGTAATATGATAATGAAAATTTGTAATTAAATTATTAACTTATTAACCATCATTTTCTGACTATAATTGGAAACTGATGCAAAGTGTATTCCGGTAAAGATTTTAATTAAGAAAACTTGGATGATCGGTGCGAGAAAGAGAGGTTTAAGTTTAAAGTATATAAAAAGTAAAATACAAGAATGGATTATGCAAGGAAAATCGGTAAAAGTGGGGATCCAAAAAAGTGGCTTGAAAAACGTGTTACAATGGTTACGACAACCGATGGTCCTTTGATCAAGGATATTACTTGTGACGAATACGTCGAAGATCGGCGTTTAAAAAATTGGAAAAAATGGATAAACGAAAGAGACAAAATTGGTCGTCGTATAAAATCGTTAACCGGTCGTTCGAGACTCGATCAAATTATCAATTCCAGCGATAAAGTACGTTCCTTAATTGAAATGAAAAATATCATGGAATACGCATCGATGGGAGTAACTGTAAAAGAATTAACAAAAATTCCTTGTTCAACCGAAATGAAAACAACATTACCTAGAATAGAAAAGGATTTGAATTTTCAATTAAATTTAACTTACGTCGATGTTCCCGAATTAATCGAACGGGAAAAAGGTTTGCATGGGATATCGTTAAAAAAAACCACCTGGGAAAAGAGCAGCGTGTATTTGAAGCAACGCAAAGAAGAAATTGAAAAGTCGTTGATCATTGAAAGACCTCAAACTAAAGAATTATTAATACGTGGTAATACTGTCGAAGAAGAATCAACGAAATTATTGAGAATACCAATAATAACTATTACTGAACCGGAAGAAGACGAACAATTTTCTCATTCGGATTCTGTAATAATATTGAAGATACAAGATCGTGAAATCGTTCAAAGATCGTTTAATCATCGATGCAACGAAAAACCGATAGAATGGAATTTAATATTTCATGGAATGATTAATCAAAGATCGGAACAAATGATTACTTTTGAGAACAAAGGTAACACGGTTATTCATTATCATTGGAGAGATTCGTCATTTCGATCAAACTTTCGTTATTTTTTCAAACAACACGACACACCTTTTTATTTCAACAAGACAGATGGTATCATTTTGCAAGGGCAAATTATTCGATTGAACATTTTTTATTTACCACGTAGATCAAACGTTTGCACAGAAACCTGGAGATTATTTACGAATCCTAAATTATGCGAGTGCCCGTTGATATTTCGATTTTGGTCTTGCGCAATAGAAACGAATGAAAATATATCAAATTGTTTGAACATTTCTAATATTGATTTTTATTTAAATCGTCGTATCAGAGATTCGATAATTCGAGATATCGTTGAAACAATAATAAATGATGTTGATTATAAAAAACCACCGGAACCTGCTTACGCCAGTTTGTTTATGGAAAATTATATCTTTAACGTTAAAAATCCTTATCATTATTATCATACGAATTTGATATTGGAATTTCGTAAAATTTATTGCGAAAATGTCGATGCACCAACTGTCACTTGGAATTTATCTTTGAACGATTTACGAGGTATACTTTTGTTAATAAAAAATCAAGAACGCAGGCAACAAATGTTATTACGATTTAATAATCTTTGCAAACTATCATTGAAACCATCGTTGATTTCTAATCACGTTAATGATAGAAAACATATAACTGTTTATAATTTATTATGCTCTTTCGCGAATCGTTTTGAAATCGAGACCGAATTTGTTATCAACAATTGTCTTTTAATTGAAAAAGACAAATTATCTAAACCGGACAATTTATCCTTGTCAGAATTATCTGTTAAAATTGTTAACAAGAATCGAAAGAAACATAAAAATCGAAACAACGAGTCTACGAATGCACAAGTTTTTAAAAGTACAATGAGTTTGTTCTTTCGGGATAATATTCGTGATCAATTTTACATGGAAATATTTTTCATTCGTATTCGTGAATTTCTCGTTGAGATAATCGATAGAATTTCTGCTACGATAGAATCTTACAACAGATTGGATGGTATAGATACTTCGTTTTATTATCGCTGAAATAAAAATTGTAATATATTATAAAAATGTTAAATAATATTCAATTAAAA